CATAGTAAATATTTTAGGCTTTGCAACTTTTATGTTCTTTGTTGCAACTACTCAACTTTGCCATTATGTGAAAGCTGCTGTAGACACTACATGAAGAATATGGCTGTGATCCAATGGACCTCTACTTACAAAACACCTAGTGGAATGTAGTTTCCTGACCCATGTTATAGATGGTTCATAAAACACATCTCACTTTAGCGAAGAAAGAATCAGGTCTGGGAAGGCATGGTGTACTTTATTTAAAGTTCATGTATTTTTCATCAGCTTCAAGTAAATAGAACCAGTGTAATGGAATAAGGTGTACAAAATTGATATCTCCAAGGCAAGAGCTGTTATGTAGGCAGAAATTTTTCCTTTTACAACAGCTTGTAGAAAACTGAGAAAAGCAAGTCTTGGCTTGATTGGAGACACAAGGAGCTAGGATCCTTTAAGGGGTTGCAGACCTGGACTGTGTCTTGTTTCACTGCCGGTCCCCACTTTTTGACAGAGAACCCAGCACGTATCCTTTAGGAAGTACTTGTTAAGGATGGTGGCACCACCTTCCAGTTCATTTCCCACATGGATCTCTGATCTCTCCTTTATACTGCCTCCTCCATGGGGCTTCTAGGTGGAATGACTGTGTAATGGCCCCATCCCTCTCTTATAGGAAAAGTCACTAAAGAAATTTGTAATAAGTTGTATAGTTTAACTTTCAGTAAAAGCATATATTTGTGGATAATGTTTACATCAGTGTTACTGTCTGTGGCTTCTGAGATAATTGTATTGGGGAACATGTTTAACTCTAATGGCAGCAAATTATATGGCTGATACTGTCTGTGATGCTTTCTTGAAACTATTTAGTCAGGCTGGTATTTAGAGCTGGCTCATATTGTGAGTTCTGTGTTGCAACAGGATATACATTAATGTGTCACCGTGGGATGGAAGGTAGGTCTGTAAGTCTTTCTGTAAATATCTGAGGAATGACTGTTGGGTAAGTTTAACAGTCCACAAGGTACCTGTGGTGATTTTGACCAAGACTTTCTCTCCAGCAGAACCAAGGACAGAATTCCAGCCATGTCTTTCCTGGCCGGTGGCCTTTTCCAGTCCTCAATTCCTCAGACAATATGTGTTGTGCGGTCACCCCCCTCAGATCTTCCCAAGCTCTTCTGCGGGAAACTACTTCCCACTAGAAGCTCCAAGCTGCTCAAGTGAAAAAGCAGAAGATGGAGAGAGAAAAGGCTCTAATACCATGTTCAAGAGGCCGCAGCAGAATGGGACTTCAAGTGTATTTTTTAGCCCATTTCAAGGTCAGCCAGTAGACACAGTGGTAGGCAGCAGAGGTGGAGGAATAAACCAGGGGATGACCTCTAAGGAGAGAGACAGAGTGTTGATGAGGAAAGACATCTCAGAATCTGGAGCAGTCACATATGGAAAATATAGACTAGGACTTAGCACAAACCCAAGTCTCTTTAGCGTCCAGAAGCATCATGTGTGTCCAGAATGTGGCAGAGGCTTCTGCCAGAGGTCAGACCTCCTCAAGCACCAGAGGATGCACACAGGGGAGAAGCCTTATAGTTGTAGGGAGTGTGGGCGAGGCTTTGGCCGGAAATCCTCTCTCACCATACACCAAAGGAAGCACTCGGGGGAGAAGCTATATGTGTGCAGGGAATGTGGACGACATTTCAGATATACATCCTCATTCACTAACCACAAAAGGATACACTCTGGGGAGAGACCCTTTGTATGTCAGGAGTGTGGGCGAGGCTTTCGCCAGAAGATTGCTCTCATCCTGCACCAGAGGACACACTTTGAGGAGAAGCCTTTTGTGTGTCCTGAGTGTGGTAGAGGCTTTTGCCAGAAGGCATCACCTCTCCAACACCGGAGCTCACATTCAGGTGAGAGGCCCTTCTTGTGCCTGGAGTGTGGGCGTGGCTTCAGGCAGCAGTCCCTGCTCCTCAGTCACCAGGTCACACACTCTGGAGAGAAGCCTTATATCTGTGCTGACTGTGGGCATGGTTTTCGACAGAAGGTCACCCTCATCAGACACTAGAGGACACACACAGGGGAGAAGCCTTACCTGTGCTCTGAGTTTGGGCGTGGCTTTAGCCAAAAGGTCTCCCTCATGGGACACCAGAGAACACACACTGGGGAGAAGCCTTATGTGTGCCCCGAGTGTGGGCGGGGCTTTGGTCAGAAGGTCACTCTTATCAGACACCAGAGGACACAC